AGCAGGAATGGTATGGAGGAAGGCCAGAGTATGCTGTCTCAAAATAGGAAAGACTTCGGGTAGTTTAAGTTGGTGCAAGAAAACCCTCTGACTTTCCCTTGTTTGCCAAAATGCAAGACATAAACTTACGAAGACAAAGGTATTCTGCCTTCCCTCTGCCAGGGAGAACAGAGGTGAAGCACTGAACCTCACATCCTCATCATCTGGAGACAGTATTATTAGTCTCTACTTGGACAAGCCTCACTCCCTAGCCTTTATCTGCCTTTCCACAGGTTGCTGCGCCACATACCTGAAATCCTTTTCCTTTCTCTTGGCTTTTCTTTAAAAATTCCCTGTCCTTTATTGAAGAGGCTATAAAAGCTAGAACTCAAAGTTACCCCTCTCTGTAAGTCTCCTGTGAATATATGAAATATACATATTAATACATTTCTGTTTTTCTCTTGTTAATATGTCAGTGGTTATAGGACTCCATTCCAACTAAGAACCTATAGGAGTCAAAGGGAAAAAAACATTATTCTTCCCCTAAAATCCCATACCCTAAAACACACCTCATCTCTTATATTTACTTCTCCCTCAAGTAACAAATCTTTGCCAATAAGTATATCATTTGATTCAGTGTATTCCATTCATCTTAGTAGTGAAGTAGGACAGGTAAGCTCATGGGAAAAATAGGGGATTCTGGGCCCTAGTCCACAACTTGTTACCCAATGAAAGCGACCATGTGTACACTTCTTGCTCTCCTCCCCCCTGATAATGTATGGAATGCACCCTCCCTTTACCCCTACTCTTACCAGCATGGCAAGGGCCAGGTGTGCTGTAACAGCAGGGAATACCACAATGTCTCCAAGAATGAAAACAGCAACAGACTCATATCTTACACAGGAGGAGGTCCTCTAAAATAGGAGGAAGAAATCTCAAAACCCTGCCATCCTCATGACCCTTGCTCCCCTAGCAAGCCATAAAAATAAGACCAGTTCTCTTCTCCACAGACCAGTGTGCTCTCCATCAAACCTGTGCCTCCTTCAGCCATTCTCTTGTTTATGCTAAAGCCCATTTCCTATTTTCTCTTCTTTCTCAATTAAAGCTTTGCCTATAAATTCCTGCTGCTGAAGCAGTTTGGACTTCTATTATTACTAAAGCAACTTCCCGCCCATGTCCTGTATCAGTACAGCTACAGTATACAAAACTCACGCTAAGTTACACCAACAATTATCATTGAACTTCAGTGTTCTACACTTTCATACAGAGCATAACCAGAAAGCTGTTTCAGTGTTCCCTAAGGACACAAACCTTTCACTTTCCAATATATCTCACAGGGCAGCAAAGAGCCATCAGGGGGCAGCAGAAAGAGCAAGAGGCTAGCATCCTGAAGATCTGCCCGTGCTCTCGGCTTGTGCACACACATGGTGGCAGAACTTAATGACCCCAACCTGCACCCTCCTCATTTGGAAAATTGGCATCAATAATGCCAGGCCTGCTCAACCAAGAGAATGTTGTTGAAAGTTAACAAAATAATTTATTCAAAGTCCTAATTAAGATCAGTAAGGCATATTCTAGTGCATAGCAGATTTACAGTCTTGGCCAGCAATGGCAGAAATAACAGGACTGTACAGGAGATAGCGTGATGTTACACAAGGCTTCTTACTTACTCGGCATGGGAGGTACCAGGCCATGCCAATGACCTCCATCGACCTCACTTCTTAGTCTAAGAACTGAAGTCACCAATTACAACAACCTAACATAATTGTCCAGAGCAAAAAGATTAACAAATACAAAAGTGGTGGCACATGTCTGTAATTCCGGCACTCAGGAGGCTGAAGCAGGAGGACTACTGTGAGTACAAGGCCAGCTTGGGCTACATAACAAGACCCTGTTTCAAAACCAAACCAAATCAAAAGAAAACAAAACACAACCCTCTATAAATGTTAGACTGATAGGGAAACATGACAATAGTTATTGAGTAAAAAGAGCCAAATGAGTACTATGCTACAAGGAAGTTGCTCTTCACCCAGACTAATACAGTATAGTAAGTACAAAAAGAAGAGATATAAAGAAGACAAACATATTTGCCTAAATGATATAAAGATTTGTCTAAATGCTTGTTTCTCAACACTGTAATAGATGAAAGGGGTAAATGCCAAGAAAAAAATGTAAAAAGCAAGAGAATGGTATAAGAACTATAGAGAATGTAAGTGAACTGTACATTATTAACAGAAAGCAAGCCAGCAGCCCAGGGTAGGTAGGCACAGTGGGTGAGGGGCAGGGATGGAGTAATAAAAATGAAGTTTTAGTTAAGCTTCATTTATAATTTGAACTCAATTCAAATTAGAAATGGGATATCTACTCATCTATGATCAGAAGAGTTTACTTATATCTTAATTAATAAGCACCACAGCTACTTAACATATTTGTACTATTCTGAATAGATGCAGCTAAGGGGTAGAGGGGGAATTGTTAAATATAACACAGAACAAAGGCAGATCATGAAAAGCCTTGTGTTCCACACTCTGTGGGCAAAGAAAATGGATGAAAACATTTGAGGTAAGAACTGATATAGTCAGGCTTACACTTAAGAAAGAAAGCACGGTGGAGAAATGATCAGGAGAGGAACTAAGCAATAGAAAGCTGACTAGAGAATATTTTAGGCAACATTACACCCAGTCAAGAAAAGGTGAGAGGCTTACACTGCAGTGGCAATCCTGACTTCAGAGGGCTTCCTGGAAAAGAATGGGCAGAGCTGAAGGAGGAGGAACAGAAGTCGGAATGACACCGAAGTCTCTTGCTGAGTGACTGAGTGCTTCTGAGGCACCACTTTCCACAGGACAAAGCTGATGTAAGTAAACAACAAAATAATTCAGGAATAAGCTTTTGAAGAATACAAGTATAATCTGAAATAATATCCATTAAGTCATTAGAATGCTTCCAAGAGGATTATTTTTCCCATAATAACCATTGAGAGAAGCTCAAAAATCAAGATAGAAGAAAAAGGAACAAATGATGGTGCCATAAAAGTCCTTAAGCACAATCCATATTAGCTCATGAAAGGACCCCTGGCTTTTACTTGGAAGTGCCAAGAACATTTCTGAAGGAAGCTGCTACTGATCAAATCCCCCAGAAAAGTGAGTGCCCCTCTGCTTCTCTGAACTCGGGTGGGCAGCCTTACACCACATTGCCTCCACAGGAACGCTGCGCCACACTAATGAGCTGTGGGGGTATATTGTTACCTCATGATTTCAAAAACAAGATCAACTTTATGAATGATTATTTCTTGGCAACAATTATACTGGAGAAACAGAAACAGCAAACTTTAACAACAAAATACAATTCCTAACTTTACATACACACATGCAAGCCCACCACGAAATACTTTTTCTGTCCATTCATGACCACAGCTTTATTTTAGGGAACACCGTCACCAGTGTGTTGGGCTCTTCCTGTGTGCTCCTTGGGGGGGGGGGCAGCCCAGAGCCTGGCTTTCCCCCTCATCTTGGGAGGAGCCTCCTTGATCTCGGTCCATTCCCTCTGTGATAATGCCTGCAGCTGCCAACTGCAGGTTTTTCTACAGCCTCTCCAGGTGAGCCGCTCTGCTCCGGCTTTCTGCCTGAGACAAACTGTCTGTACCTCTCCCTTTCCACTTCCTTCTGCCTGCCCTGTGGAGTTAGTAATATGGAGGGCTCCGTGGAGAAAAGCCCTTCAGTTTGGAATTCCACAGTGTTTGGGAGCCATTGGGAGGGAGCTCACAGGGGCTCTGGGCTCAGTGCTTTTGGTGACGGTGGGCAAGGTCCTACACGGGTCAAGCTCTCCGTGGTGTCTGGAGGACAGGCGCCAGGCACAGAGCTCGGAGGAGTCCGGGGGTCCTCCCTGGAACCCTCCGGGATCTTTTCTCCTCCCTGGATCACGCTGGTCACAGCCATGAACGACCCTGCCCTCACTGTCCTCGGATAAATCAAGGCCTGGCTCCAGGTCCTTGTGCAGGGCCGTGCTGCTGTCTTTCTGTCCGCAGGGCTTGCCAATCCTAACTCAGCACCCCTCTGTGAGACTCTGCCCCACACCTGCAGGGCCCTCTCCCGGAGCACCTCGCACCCTGAGGTCCACCTAACGGCAGGAGAGGCCTGCAAGGTGAGCACCAGACCCAAATGCAGTGCCAGGATCTGAGGCAACTGCCACCTCCTCTGACGCTGGGATTCATCTGGTGGGCTTCCCCTGCAAGCTGCCCTCCTGATTTGGGTTTTTTGTTCGCCTACATTTCCTGGTACCTGCATCTCTTGGTGTCTTTCCAGCTACTTGGAAGTGCTGCTGCCTCTAGCCCACCACGATGCAAAATCAAACAAACAAACAACAAACAAAACTCTACTCCTAACCTTTCACAAAAGAACAAAGTGAGACGTATCATATATGTCACTTCTTTTCAACACAACAGGCCAAACAACATGGGTGACAAGATTACAATTATCTACCTAATACTTTTCCAAATATACAAATATAAAGAGGAATGTTTGAGTAACTAATGAGAAACTTGAAAATTCAAGATATGATCTCTTTAATTCTTGGTTTAGCCAAGAATCTACCACAAGTATAAAAGGAAAGACAATCCAAACCATGTACCAGTTTGTTCATTCAAACTGTTAGCAATGGGTGAAAAAGGTTAGAAATTGCAATTGCATAGAAACTTGCACTTTCTGTGCATAATTTATTTTATTTGCTAGAGCATCCAGAAAAAGGCACTTAGGGTGAAATGTCACACAGTTGTCTTAAGTTATAAAAAAGCAGTGAAAACAATGATGACGTGGTTCAGTGAGCATTCAATTACATTAGAATACTATTGGAAGGCACTGGGTTATAAAAGAAATAATATAATTATGCTAAAATGTAGTATTTCCTGCGTTATACCAGCAAAATAAACACTACCACTGCCCACACAGAACCAACTAACTATATGCATAAAACCCAGGATGAACTATTTTTAATGTCATTAGACTGTCAGACTCCTTGTAACAGACTTTTTATATTTTATTTTTCCATACCCTAATTGCCAGTCTTATCTGGATATACAGTAATAGATTCTGATTACCAAAACAGCACTGGTGAGAGTTCCTTACCACCTGTCACTCTCAGTGCACCTTCTAAGCAAGGGACAGTCCAAGCACTAAGGATCCAGAATGAAATGTGATAACTGCCTCAAGAATGTTCAAAACAAACATGCCACAGGCCTACAGGGAAGTCTCTTCTAAATGCAGAGTGGGCAAAGTAATGTGCAGTGTTAAAGGTTTCTGAGAAATGAAATGACACAGGTAGAGAACAGGCTTTGGCAACACAGACTACAGGATCTTAGGGTGTCACCAGACGTTGCTGAAATGGCTGACCATGCATCTGGGCTGGGCAAAGAAGTCTGCTAAACCACAAGGGAGAGGTGACAAAACCCTCTCTCAAATAAAAACTTTTTGAAAGGCAGAGATGTAGCTCGGTGTAGTTCAATTCCCAGCACCATAAATAAATAGATGGGTGGGTAGACAGACAGACAGACAGACAAATAGGTAGTACAGTATGCACAATAGAATTTTCTAAGAAAACAGAAGTGTGTAATTGCTCATAAAGAACTCTTGGGGCCAGGGATTTAGCTCAGTGGTTCCACCAGGTGCCTGGCAAGCACAAGGTCCCAAGTTTGAGCCCCATACCAAAAATAAAAAAATAAAAAAATAAAAACTCTTTGCTCATGCCTGCCTCAAAAGTACAAGGTCCTGAGTTTGATCCCCAGTACCAAAAAAAAAAAAAAAATTCTTTGCTCAGACAAAAATAATTCAGTGTTCTTTTTTTGTTTGTGGTGATGGTTATAAATTATCAATTCTACAATAAGAACTAGTGATACACAAAATACATGAAAGTTCTTTTTAATGTAGACTTTGTTTCATAAACTTACATAGAATTTAATTAAAACTCAGTCACATCTGAGGAAGTTTTTCCTCCCATGTTATCTTGCTCGTTAAACAGTAAGACGTAAGCATGGCTAGTTTTTCTAATACAGCTTAAAAACATAGTAAAGAATAAAGCTAATAGTGTCAATAATTTAAATCTAAGACTTTCAGAATACCCAAAACACATACATATTTATATAACCCTATTTACATGGCCCTGTTTTTAATTTAATCAAAGCAACCCATTACTGGGGAATAAGAAGGTTGAAGGGTGACTGAGAAAGAGGCATAATTAATCACATTCACAATGAGCTAGAGTTTTCAAACAGATACCTAATTTACAGAAGAAAAACACTGGATAAATGAAAAGACAAATCAGAAACATATACATCTGCACACATCTGATCTGTGAATCCTAAGTGAAAGGCCCAGCTACTCCTGGATTTTGTAGAAACAACTGAAATTTAAGTCCTGGTCAATGCACCACAAATATCAACAGGAGCACTTACACACTCAACAGGCAATTGTTTTTGACTGTTGAAACTGAGAGCTGAAAACAAAAAACAAAAATTATATGAAAGTGGATTTGTGGGTCTCACAACAAGATCAGCTGGTTAAGAAAAAATAAATAAAAATCTTCTCATGCTGTGCCACTGATTGTTAGCACAAGATGGATCATCACACCTCAGCTCCAGGAGTGGTATTCACGAGCTCCACTACTGCGCCATAAATGCCAAGAGGCATAACTGACAAAATGAGAGGCCAAAAGTCAGCCTTTCAAGGGTGATTATGTTTCCAATCATTTTCTCCTTCTCAGACTACTATGAAAACTGGAGGGAATAAACAGAAGTAGTAGGGCAGTCCCAACAGTTGAGGAGCTCAGTGCAATTCTTCATTGGTATATTTTCAAGCCCAGTTTGCCCAAGGCAATCAAGGAGGCAGAAATGAGCAAGGGAGGAAGCAGGAGAGTGATGAAGAGCACAGGTTTCAGAAACCAAGATCATGGGTTTGTGTGCCCTTACCATCTGTGTGACTTCTGCAAAAGTCTCTGCATCACTTTCACCTTAATTATTGCTGAGCACCCAGTAATGGTTGTGAGGATCAAACTGAGATGTACAGCATTCATCACTGTATTTCCCACTCCATTTGTCATCATCATCATCATCATCATCATCCAGGCCTGAATTTATTACACTTGAACACATCTTGGTATTGTTTTTCTATTTCTTCTATTCTTGACATTCATCAATTTCTTCCCCTGAATACTAGGGAAAAAATAATTTCTTATCTATCTTCTTTCTACCATCATATAAAACACGGAAGGAACATTCTCCTTGAAGTAGGAGAATGGAGATACTCTGAATACTTGACAGCTGGAAGATTTTGTGGACTATCATTATAATCTCTCTTTATCCTTGTAGGAAGTTTCTAAAGTGCAAAAATTCAACTTCAAATACTGGAGATTTACATGGAATTCAACTTGGTAGCACTGTACTGTTCAGTGTAAGATCTACCTCAACATCTAATTGTCCCTTATTCTCTTTCCTAAGAAGCCATACTAGATAGGATGCAAATGTACATTAGAATAAGATCTTAAGCCACAGTGAAAAGAATTCCTGTCCTATCCTTCAGGAGTGTCTCTCTGCCCTCCCTCTCTGCCAACAAATAGATTCTGAGGCATATAAAACAATAATATATGAAATATATTTTCCTTTCTTTGTCCAGCATTTCCCAGTACTCTTTGTTT